GATGTGGTTTGCATAGTGCCACCTGTTGAGCGGAGTATGGAAGTGAGGAAGGATGCAGTTATGAGACTGTACCTTAATCACCAGCATCTAGTAACTTATTTTGAAGTCCATAACTCCTAAAGTAACATTTTTAAAGCTTACAAACTTTGTCATTATTTTTATTATTGTATGTGTGAGATGGTGCTCACATGGATGTCAGTGGGCAGCTTTGTGGAATTAGTTCTCTCCTTTCAAATTTACATGGGTTCCAAGGATTGAACTTGGGCTGTCAGGTTTGCATCACTGGATAGCAAGCACCTTTACCTGCTGAGCCATCTTGCTGGCCCAGTCTTAGGAACTTTGGCATACTATAATTCTGCTTCTTAATTCTCTCTTCATGAATTTTGGAGTCAGACTTGGATTCAGACTTCATTTCTTTTTTCTTATTAGCCATGTGACAGAAAGCAAGACAATCTCTTTTAGAATTCTTCTTTCCATGTGTAAGCCAAGGTAATCATATCTATTTCATGGGACTGATATAAGGGTCACTCAAAATAAAGTTACTATGAAGGAGTAATGCTAAGTCTTAGTGTGTAGAACAGTGGATGTTACTGAACAAGGCCAGGTTGGGTCCCATCTTTCCCCTTCCTGCCTGTCTTTCTCATTACTCTTTCTCTGCTCTGCCTCTTGTCTCCAAGTCCTTTTGTCTTTTTTCCTCTGTTTTGATATTTTCTCCAACTCTTAATTCTTTCCCTCTTCCTTTAATACCTTAATTCATTGTTTATTGTTCATCGACCTTCCATGGCCATTAATCCTCCATTAAAGAAATAGTCACATTTTTTGGGGGGGGATTTGGAATGTGCATCCTTTCGCCATTGCTCAACTGTTTATGCATCTCCGTTCTTCTTGGATGCCATAAGGAGGACACTGCCATTCTGAGAGCTGATTTCAGCCTATTGCACCATGTAATTAAGGAATACTTCGGGCTTCAAGTTTTAGAAACTACAACAAATATTGGCTTGATCAAATACAGCTAGTTCCTCTCACGGGGTAGCTCTTGGCATTGGTACTGACTCAGCACTGCTGTTTTCATGAGACTTTGTTCTAACCATCAGCTATATGTTTCAAATAAGAAGAGCTGGGATGAAGAGGGAGCATACCACTGAGTACAGCTGAACAACCCGCTCTGTTTATCTTAAAAGGAAAGCTTTCTCAGAAGCCTCACCTACGGATCTAGTTTGCCCTAGACAGTTCTGTGTTTCTCTATTTCTGTGACTTTATTTCATTTAAATCATAAGCTTGTGTTCCAGTGTTGGACCACAGACATCTGCATAGCAAGGTAGAGGGAATTTAGTTGTCTTTGGCAGAATGTCCTGTGGTTGATTGGTACAGAACGTCACCTTTGTAGGCTGGCTTATTTCATTTAGCGATATACATTTAGATTCCCTTTGTGTTTTCTGTTTCATAGCTTATTTCCTAATAAAATGAATAGTGTTTTACTTCATAGATGCCCCAGAGTTTGTTTGTCTTATGCACCTATTGAAGACCATCTTCCAATAAACATTAGCGCAGGCTCATATATGTTGATGGAAGTTTTCATCTCTTTTTGGTAACAGGAGCACAAATGCTGGATTCTTTGATAATAGTATGTTCACTTTTTTTTTTTTGTCATTTTCCCCATCTGCTCTGGAACTCTCTATGGAGACCAGGCTGTGTCAGGAGAGTCCCAGCTCAGACCCTGGAACCAACCTGGAAGGACCCCTATCCTGTGATCCTTACTACACCTACAGCAGTGAAAGTGGCTGGGATCCCTCATGGACCCATCACACTCAGTTAAAGGAGGCTGCAGAAGAAGAAGGAGAATGGACTGTCACTCGGACCTCCAACCCTTTGAAGATAAGACTGACATGGATCCCCTGATTGTTATAACTATGCTTTGGCTTCTTTTCCTCCCCAGGGGAACTGCTTACAGTCTCCATTGCCCCCAGGCCTGGGAATGGTAACTCAGGAAAACGGGATGGGAAATTCCTTGTGACTGTGACCACCGACAGTCAACCCACCCTCCAAACAGACTTTTGCACACTTACAGCTCTAACCTTATGGTACCCCTTCAGCAGGTCTGAGTATAAAGCAGTGGGCTGTAGCAACCTAGAATTTGAGAAAGGAATTTAAAGCCTCAAATTTTAATGCCTGTCCTGCTAGCAGTGAGTTTTCCTGTCAGGGAAACGGCCTGACACTGTGCAGCCTGGGAATGTGAGACATAATCTCATGGGAACATACAGACCACTACATCTGCATAATAGACAGGAAGCGCCCAAGATTTATTTCCTAGGTGTTGTAATCTCCTGACCATCAAGATCATAGCCTGGAATACAGCAGGTCACCATTATTGGGCGACAGGAAGAACCTGGGGAATAAAGCTTTATGCCACAGGGAAGGACCCTCGGGATATGTTCATCATAGAGAAAAGGCATCCACTCCGGGACCCCCCAACCCATTGGTCTAAACTGGAATCTTTATTTGCCAGTGCCCCAGGAGTCTAAAACCCACCATCTCCTTACAACCTTGATGATGCTTGTCACACCAGGAAAAAATAGTCCCAGTTACCCCAACCCCAAACCCCGAAACAGACCCCTCCATGCTAAGGATATTAGTAAAAGTCTATTAGCTTTTAAACCTTACAGAGCCAGACTTGGGTTAGGACTGCTGGCTATGTTTAGATACCATCCCCCACCCCCAGTTTACTATGTAGGAATTGGGCTAAATCAGACTCTCACTCCTTATAAGGATTAGACAGATTGTGACTGGAACCATCCCTGAGTCACCCTAGGGGATTTACAAGGACAAAGGACCTACATCATGTCGTCTAACTATGACCTTGAAGGATCTCCCTATGTGGAGGCTTGTAGCAGTGGTCTATGCACAAACTCCAATGTAGAACGGAGGTTTTTCTTCCATGCTCCTGAAACTACCTGCCTGGCATGCACAAACAGATTGACTAAATGTACATCCTCTGACCGGTTTGAGGGTCCAGGAGATGGTGGTGGTGGGGCTCTGTATACTGGTTCACATTGTCCTTCAGGTGTATATACATAGTTGGGAAGAGGGACGAGAACACCTCAATCTAGATCCAGGATTATCCAGGAGAAAGACGGTGGCCTCCAGAGTCCTTGTCCCCCTCTTGGCAGGGGCAGGTGTAGCAGGTTCAGCTGCCACTGGTACCTCTGCCCTGACTGTGGGAGATAAGAACTTTAAGGAACTTAGTGCTTAAATACATATGGACCAAGGACACTAAGAAAATTCCCTCTCCAGACTTGAAAGTCAGGTAGATTTTGTAGCAGAAGTGGTATTGCAAAATCTCAGGGGCTTAGATCTCATCTTTATGAAACAAGGTCTCTGCATGGTTTTAAAAGAGACCTGCTGCTTCTATGCAATCAATCTGGAATTATCAGGGAGAGCTTAGCACTACTTAGAAATAACCTATGGAGAGAGAAAGAAAAAGATGAGTCTGACAATTGGTATCAATCAGTCTTTGTTTTCCTGGTCTCCATGGCACACCACCCTATTCATGGCCCTAGCTGGGCCTCTGGTACTCCTACTTCTGGCTCTGGCAATTGGTCTTTGTCAGATCAACTGCCTGACTAACTATATAGGCAACAGGTTAATGCAGTAAAAATCATGGTCCTAAGAGGACAATATAATACCCTGTCCCTAGGCAAGCCCACAATTTGACTCATGCCCATAGAACCAGCGGGGAATGTCATAAGGCACCATCTTGACCATAGCTACACCATGTTGAAGTCTAGGCTGAATCTAGCCTCTGAGACGAAAAGGCAGTTGGTCCAAGGTGTTAGAACGGGAACACCAGCGGCTCAGCTGCACCAAGGTATGAGTTTGAGAACACTTCAGTAGGCCTCTGGTTGCCTAGAGAATAAGTCAGCATGTTCCTGGTTGCTCCTGGTAACTGCATATTTATGGCTTCTGCACTTTACACTTGGCTTGCTTTTGCAGAATAGTAATTGTTAGAGGGGCTTTCTACCCCTAAACTAAGGAAATGCTTGGAAACTTAAACTTTTCACTCTGGATGTGGTTTTTCTGTGTAACAGCTTATTCTAAGAACACCTAGGCCCTGTACTTGGGTTTGAATGCTCTGTGTAGTCACCGACCAGCCAATAAAGGGCTTTCTTTTGGCATTATTGTGTGTCTGAGTGGTCTTCTCTGGTGAAACACCTCACAACACCTTTTAGTTTCCTACCTTAAAGTGGTAATTAATACATTTTCATGGAATGAATGATGCATTATGCACTAATGACTTCAATCTCTCAAAAGAAACAAATGAACTCCTTTAACTAGACTCTCAAAGTATAAGCAGGCAAACCATTAGATACCTAAGTAGAAACACAAACATGATTTCTTTGACAAGAATACAAACTTTATTAAGAAACATCAGGAGACACAATACCACAGATATAAAAAAATAGTCAACAGGCAAGAGAAATCATGATCTATAAAATAAGAAATGGATCCAATGATCAAATGTAGAAAGGCCCAGTCTACGTCTTCCAGGCTGGAAGTTGGGTGAAGACTTCCATTTTCTCTGATGACCTCTGAAGAATGTCTCTCAGCTGCAGTCTAGTGCCTTCGATGTTGTAAAGGTTTAAGTAAACAGAAGATAAAAATGGGTGAAAAAGCAGAAGGAATAGAGCTGAGACAGAATGGGAAACAGTCCACAAAATTCTGACAGTTTTCAGTTCTGCAAGAGTTTCCGAAGTACGTCTACATATCCCAAATAACGTGATGATCAGCAGGTGGATTCTCAGCATTTCTTTATCCACTGTAGAGGGTCGAGGAATTCATTATAGAATAGACTCAGGTAGTGCTTTAATGTGCATTACTTAGTAGCTCCTATAATAGACAATGAAATAAAGGTTTAAGAACTCGTTACTGGTCCAGGTGTGGTCAAGGAGATGCACGATTCAGAGATATTATGGTCTGGCAGTTGAGAATCAGCAACTTGGCTTTTAACAGGTGGGCTGGCAGCAGTGGCAGCAGCAGGCTGGGCGGCAGCAGGACTGTCCACAGTAGGATGGGCGGCAGCAGGAGGCCTGGGCATGGTGCAGCTGGCAGCAGGTGGGGGGTGTGCTGCTCACCACACAGCAGGGGGGCAGGAAGGTGCCCTCCACGCGGCAGTCTGGGCGGCACCACCTGACCCGGCTACTCACGGGGCCAGAGCCACCCTCCAGGCCACCGCCGATGCCACCGCCAATGCCACCGCCAATGCCATACCCAGCCTGGCAGCAGCTTGGCTGAAAGAAGCTAGTCTCACAACGGCTGGGTTGGCTGCAGCTGGAGCCCCAGTTGCCACTGACAGAGCAGCTGGGAAATCCGCAGAAGCTGGTAGAGCAGCAGGCCATGGTATCAGGAGCTGGCTGAGTGTTCAGGAGCTTGGAGGAGTGTCTGTGTTTTGGAGGTAACTTCCACCTGGGGCCCTTTATATATCCAAGTGAGCAGCTGTTTATAAAATTCCTAACGTATTTTTCTTGTTTTCATTTAAATTTGTTCCTCAGTGGTCCTCTGATTGGCTTACATTGAAATACTTGTGACATGTTATGAGCAGCAGTTTCGAAATTACTTTGTTTTATAAGGTTGCCGTGACTCGCTCTATCAGCCCTCTACTCTTTAGAGTATGTTTGTGGTTTCCCACGTTCAAAGAGTCTTCCCATTCCAGGTTAAGTCAACACCCTCATTTTGAATAATCATCAGCCCATACCTCTGAAGCTGAGGGCAATTTGCTACTTTTAAGTATTATTTTCTCCCCTGGAGAATGCATAGATTGAATTCCATTGAATGTGGAACATCAGGCTATTTGCTGAACTGAAGGCTCACATTCGGTCACATGTAATTAAAGCTTCTACCTCATTTACTGCAACATCACATCAAGTTACCATTCTAGTTATTTTTATTTCAACCTATTTGAAACGTGTAAATATTATTATGTGTGTCCCAGGCTAGGCTGGAAAGTTTTTCTTGTGAACCAAATGACTTAGTGTATCACAAAGTAGATACTGGTGAGTCTTAAATATACTCTACTAGTATATTTCTGGTAGAGTCTTAATACACATTTATTGAATCTGATTCAGTGGATATTTACTGAAGGGGTGGAATAAACGATATGATTCATGGGTGCCTGGACCACTCATGATGAGTAAATAGAACTTTCAAGGTCGTAGCCCCACCCACGAAGGAGACTTGTTATTTGTTGTAGAAAGAGACTAGGGAATGCTGAACTACTCTTGTTGTCACTTAATGGATGAACAAAGGCTCCAGGAAAAACAACTAAGAGTTACAATATCCTGAAAAATGCACAGCCATCTGCTTTGTTCTTTCCTGGAATGTGCCGTCTTTTGTGTGATCCATCAATGCTGCCAAGTTAATGAGTGGGGTAAGTGCCCGGAGCTTGGAAATAATTTCCTCAGGTTTTCCTAGATTTATGTCTTATTGTAGTTTGTGTATTGCAGTCAAATGCTTAAATAAAAATAAATGATAAAATCGATTCCTTTTCCTAAGTTTGTGCTAAAAGAGACATTTTTCAATTGGTTTGTAAGTTACAAATTATGATATTCTTGTTTGTGATTTCCAATGTACCTGTCTGACATGATGGTAGAACTGATACATGTTTAATCTATTCTGCTTTAGACCAGGGGTAACACCTTGCACACTGAGTAAGTGCAGGTCAGTAGAAAGAGTTAAAGCTTAGAAACCTGGGCATCAGTGGGAAGGAGATAGGTTAAGGCATAGGGATTAAACGGAATTCTCTTGAAAGATAGTATTGATAGATATTTTTAAATCTGCTCAGTTGCTTCACATTGGGCATCGATGAAGAAAAAACCTAATGTACTAAATGGGGAGAGGTTACAGGTGGTAGATGTATATCCAGAGTAGCTGTATTAGTCTAGATATAATTGTAACAAAATGTGCATGTAAAGAGCCATGGAGATTACTTAATGCATGGAACATTTTTATTCGCAGATGGATCCAAACATAAGTTAATTTATATATAACCATTTTGCTTTAGACTATGGTATATGTGTAAAGATTATTATCCTCTGTGGACAACATCAAAGTAGAAGAAAGACATAACTCTGTTCACTTGTGCATAGAACACTTTATTTGATAGTAACAGGGGCTATTCAAGCAGAAAGAAGATATTAAGATGCATGGAACCAAGAGCTAGGGAAAGAAAGCAACATGACAGTGGAATGGAGAATTTCCCCATCCTGGTGCACTGCTGGAGCTCGCTGTTGGAGGCATGTTTTCAGTGAGCTAATTCAGCACATCTAAGAGTTTCACTATATATGAGCAGCTTAGTAGCATGAAGATACTTAGCATCCATCAGACAGAGCTCTTCGTTAGAGATCAGCACAATTTTGCCGTGCATTTCATTTCATTCTTAGCCAATCAGCAATCTGGCTCTTAGCAGGTGGGCTCACAGCAGCTGGGCTCAGGGCAGGTGGGCGGGCAGCAGTGGCAGCAGCAGGCTGGGCGGCAGCAGGACTGTCCACAGTAGGATGGGCGGCAGCAGGAGGCCTGGGCATGGTGCAGCTGGCAGCAGGTGGGGGGTGTGCTGCTCACCACACAGCAGGGGGGCAGGCAGGTGCCCTCGACGCGGCAGTCTGGGCGACACCACCTGACTCGGCAGCTCACGGCTCCGCAGCCACCCTCTTGGCCACTTCCAGTATCACAGCAGCTGGGCTGACAACAGCTTGGCTGGCAGCAGCTGGGCTCACAGCAAGTGGTCTGACAACAGCTGGGTTGACAGCAGCTGGACTGGGAGCAGCTGGGTTGGCAGCAGCTATTCTGGGAGCAGCTAGGCTGGCAGCAGCTTGGCTGGCAGCAGCTGGAGCCACAGGTCCCACCAGTGGAGCAAGTGGGGAACCCACAGAAGCTGGTAGCGCAGCAGGCCATGGTATCTTAAGTCAGGTTGGAGTTAAATTGTGAGAGAAGTTTCTGAGTTTTGGCTCTACCTTCTATACTTGGCCTTTTATATATTCCTCAGAGCTACGTATTTATCCAACATTAGCATCTTTCCTTGATGTTAGTTGTAAATTCAGTCTTTGATTGGTCAGGACCTGAGTAATTGAGAAAAATATAAACAACATTTCCATTGTTTGCTTCCCTAAGTGCTCAATTAAGTGTCTCTTCCTTGTCCTCTGGACTAAGTGAAAGTGCGTCCCAGGAGCCAATCCCAAGAGCACTCTGTGAAGGTCACCTGGAAAACTAGTGTTGAAGCAAACATCAGCTCGGCTCACTTTGTCATAGTTGAGCTTTGATAACCTGTAAGTTCAGTTCGTCTACATTGAACAGTTTCTTCCCACATGGCCACTCAGTCATGATCATGATTCCATAAACAGTTTGTTTAGATTTGGTAAGACTCATATAAGTGTCATCAAAACATAAGCCATTTAATTCATCAGCATCCAAACAAATCTGCCTTTCTAGGGTCAGTTCGTGCAAGGTCTGAGATTCTCAAAGCTCTCCACTTCTTCCTTTTAGTCACTGATGCAGGCTACAGATCGAAGCCTTTAATGTCTTTGCTTTACATTGTTTTCTGTCTTTGTTACATTAAAATGGGTATGCTAGCAATGCATACCTATTGTCACAAGGCAAACAACAACGGGGACGTGTAAAGAAAGGTCAACATCTCCCAACGCCCCTTCCAAAGTAGATATAGATACAAATAATAATAGAGGACATGAATGCAGGTGGGAGCAGTAAGTAATGATAAAAATACATTATAGAAAATTCTCGCATCAATTAAAATATTTAAAAAATTAATTATGGCAAACACCTATAGCATAAAATTTATGCTAATGTTTTAAATATTTATATTAATCATCTTTACCTTTGATTCTTATTACCCTTGTTGAAACTCTTAAAAAATATTTTTTTAATTGAGTGGCAAGGAAGCCAGAAAGAAATGTGTTGGCTTGGGAACCCCCTGAGACATACACAAATGTTTCCTGAACATTAGTGCATGTGTACACGTGGGGGCTGTAGGGCAAGGAGCACAGTGACAGACAGGAGAGACCCTCCCTTGAGTGGTTGGTCAGAGTAGTCCAAGAGATTCCCCAAATAACACAGGCTATTGCCGGAGCCCTGGGTTATCTCCCAAAACTCGAAGGTAAGACCCTACTGCTGAAGACAGGACATACTTTGGACACAAGACTTAGAGCAATAGAACTGGAACTGACCTGGAATCTTCTCCCTGAAGACTAGCTCTCATGGTTCTGGATGATACTATGAAAGTTGCTATTTCAATCAATGGTTCAATCCAGCCCGAAAGCCCACTAATCATAAGACTGGCACAGCAAACTGCCTCTATTGGTGCAGAAGTGGCATTGTTATCTGGGGGATAATCAACAGCTATCTAATTGGACTTAAAGCCCTCTCAGTGGGAGGGAACTCTGGTGGCACTGTAATTAGAGCCAAATATGCATGATTGGAGAGGTCATAGATCCTAGAGAAAATTCTGTCTCTGTCATATCTCTAGACAAATGAAACTTCTTATCATATGCAAATTATGGATCCTTATATTTACAGAAAAGTATATCGTGTACCCCTCACCAAAGAAGCTTCTTTTTGAAACAAATGGAGCCTATTCAGAGTTCCACATCTGGTCACACACAGAGAATATATGTCGAGAGATGCCCAGCCCTAAGTGACACATCTGCAGTGGAACCTCTCTACCCAAGGCTCATGGAACAGTGGAGCCGGGGGTAGAGAAAAAACTAGTGCACCCCTCAACTCTCACCAGTGAAACTTCCTTATACAACAGTGTGTGATGTACACAAAAGCCCACAACTGGCTAAGTTTTGGAGAATAAGAGACTGCAGAGTGTGTGTCCCTAGATAGGACTCCTATATTAAATCTGCTCACAGCTCAGAGACCATTCAGAAAAGGGGGTGGAAAGATTGTAAGAGCAAGTGCTGGCTCATGACCATAGAAACAGAAGGAAACAGAGGATTTTAGGACTGGAAGCTTGCTCAAGTGAACTTGCAGCAATGGTGGCATCGAGCACAGGACCCATGTCAACTCAATCAGAAAAGAGGGTCCAGAGTGGAGCGAGGTAAATGGGTGGCAGGCTGGCCCTAGACTGGGGACTGTTGGAGGCTGGTTACTGCTGGGTGGGGGAGAGCAGACCTTCTTTAAGGTCTCTAGATGGGTTGACTAGACGCTAGTGGATGAACTCGCACCAAAGAACAGCTGGTTCTCCTTGCTTGACTGGACAGGACTTATCATGCATGGCGGAATGCCTAAGGCCTGATGGGGGTGTGTTTATGGGGGGCATGGGTAGGGTAGGGGGTCTAGTTTTGACTAAAAACTGTTGTATGAAGTGTACAAAATCTCAATAAAAATACCAAAAAAAGTTAATTTTAATTTTTTGTGCATGAATGTATTGCTTGCATGTAGGTAAGTGCATCTGCGTCATTCAGTGCCCATGGAGGTCAGAAGAGGGTGTTGGTTTCCTGTAACTGGAGTTACTGATGGTTGTTAGCCACCATGTGAGTGCTGGGATTCCAACCTGGGTCTTCTGAAAGAGCAGAAAGTGCTCTTAACTGCTGAGCCATCTCTCCAGCCCCCAAATTCTTTTGATCATGTATGAGAATTTATTTATAGGTATTCTATTCTTTGTGTCAACACCATACTGCTTTGATTGTTGCAGCTGTGTAATAACCTTTTTAAAAATATTTATTATTTATTATTTTTATTTTATGTGTATAAAATGTATTGCCTGTGTGTAGGTAAGTGCATCCGTGTCATGCAATGCCCATGGAGGACAGAAGAGGCTGTCGGATCCCTTGGAACTGGAGTTACGGACAGTTGTTAGCTGCCATATGGGTGCTGGGATTAGAACCCGGGTCTTCTGCAAGAACAACCAGTGTTCTTAACTGCTGAGCCATCTCTCCAGCCCCCAAACTAACTTTGTAAAAGGATTTATTTATTTTTAACTATGTGTACATGAGTGTGTGTGTGTGTGTGTGTGTGTGTGTGTGTGTGTTTGTGTGACTGTGTATAGGTATGTGCAGGTGCTTGCAGAGGCCATCTTTGGGGCTAGAATTACAGACAGTTGTGAACAACTCAACGTAGTTGCTGGGAACAGAATTTGGGTCCTGTGCAAGGTCAGTATTCACTCTTAATCACTGAGTCATCTCTCCAGCCCCTTAAATTTGTTCTTATTCTTCAGGTTTACTTTTGTCATTTGAGAAACTTTATGATTACATATGAATTTTTGGATGGGTTTTTCTATTTCTACAAAAACACCATTGAGGTATTGCATTAAATCTGTAGATCTCTTGGTGGAATTGCTATTTTAACAACATTATGTCTTCTAAACCCATGAATACAGGATATCTTTCCTCTTATCTGAATCCTTTAAAATTTGTCTTATCAATGTTTTATTTCTGTTGTACACATATTTCCCCTCAGTCAATTTTATCTCTATATAATTTATTCTTTTTGTGGCTATTGTAAATGTAATTGTTTTCATAACTTTCCTTTCATATTGTTCATTGTTAGTGTACAGAAATTCAAGTGGTTTTGAGTGTTGATTTTTATTTGTGATTATGCTAAATTCATTTCTCATTTTGAACAGTAGACTTTAGGACTGTGTACGTTAAGATCATCTTGTCTTTGAGTACAGATGGTTGCTTTCCCTTTTCCAATCTGGTTGACATTTATTTCCTTTGTTTGCCCGATTTCTCCAGCTGCCACTTCTAATGCCATGAGAACCACAACAGCAAATGTGGCATTCTTATCCTGCTCCCAATATTCTGGGAAAGGCTTTTAGTCTTTCACTGTTGAGTATGAGGCTAATTGTATTCTTTTGATGAATTTTATTATATGGAGGTAGTTTCATTATTTTTCTAGTTTACTTTTTTTTAGTTTTTAAAATTTAATATAGGAGTCCTTGGGACCTTGCTCATATGAATCTACAGCAATGGTGTCAGCATGCATAAGACGCATGCAAACTCAAGCAGACAAAAACCCAGCAAAGAACTGTGGAAATGAACAGCAGGCCCCAATCTTAGCTGAAGAATTATTGGCAGCTGATTACTGCTGGATGAAGAAGGGCTGATCTTCTTAAAGGATGAGACTCAAGATAGGCTGACTAGACCTCAGTGGATGAACTTGCACTGAGGGACATTTGAGGACACTAAATGGACTTGATTGGTCTTAACACAAATGACAAAATGCATAAATTCCAGTGGCGGGGACTGTGGGAGGGAACCAGTGGGGAAGGGGGTATAAAAATGCTCAAGATGTTCTGTATGACATACACAAAAACTCAAACATTTCCAAAAATCTTAAAACTACATTATGTGTGTGTGTGTGTGTGTGTGTCTGTGTCTGTGTATGGGCACACATGCAGGTCTGGAGGCCAGAGGACTGTTTGTAAGAGTTGTTTCTTTTTCCTTCTAATATGTGGATTCCAGGGGCTAAACTCAGGTCCTTGGGCTTTGCAGCAAAAGCCTTTACCCACTGAACAAGTTCATTAGCTCATTGAATGTTTTTTAAAATGATGAAGGGGTTTTGCTTTTGTCAAATGTCTTTTATACAGCAACTAAGATGACCATGTGTGTTTTTATCCCTCATCTTTCTTAAGAACAGTATTACACTGATTGGTTTCTTTTGGATGTTGGGCAATTATTACATTTTAGGAAAAATTCCCACCAGGTAAAATTTTAAATTATTTTTGATGTACAGCTGAATTGTGTTTGATAATATTTGATTGATGATTATTGTATGAAAATTCATCAGGGATATTATTTTGTATTTTTCTTAAAATTTTTTGCAAATATAAAGGGATTCATTCACTTCTGTTACTGGAGTACAAAATGTAATGTATAAAAGCCACTCCCTCTCTCTTCAGTGTGAGCATCTTGTGCCATCCAGGGGATACTGCC